AATAACAAATGCTGGCGAGGTTGTGGAGAGATTGGGACTCTCATACACTGCTGGTGGGACTGTAAAATGGTACAACCACTGTGGAAAGCAGTATGGCGATTCCTTCAAAAGTTGGAATTAGAAATACCATTTGACCCAGCCATTCCATTACTAGGTATATATCCTAAAGAAGTGAAAACCATGACAAGAACAGACATATGCATACCCATGTTCATCTATTGACAATAGCCAAAAGATGGAAACAACCTAAATGTCCATCAAATGAGGAATGGATAAACAAAATATGGTACATACACACAATGGAATACTATGCAGCCCTAAAGAATAATGTAGAATCTGCAAAACACCACATAACATGGATGAACTTGGAGAACATTATGCTGAGTGAAATAGTCAATTACAGAAGGACAAATATTGTATTAGTCCATTATTTAAAAGTCAAGGACAGGTTTATCGATGGAAGGAAATTTTCTTTGTTCGTTACCAGGGGTGGGAGGGAAGGGAAGGGTAGACTGTTAGATGGGTAGAGATAAGTATTGATTTGGGTGAAGAGAAGGGCGATGTACCAAATGTGAGTGATAAACACGGTGACACTGAGGAAGAGGAAGATAGAGAGGTACATGGGAGGTGCAGACAACAAAGATGAACCCTTTTGCACATACAGTACTGTGTTGTCAGTGAAAACAAACATGGGTATGCGGGTGGTTAGAAGGGTGGACAGGCTAAACTATTAGGTATGTCTATGAAGCAGGGAGTGTACCCAAGACCATGTATAGGGTTGGTAGACAATGGTCCTATAAGTGTATTTGTATGATCTGAATTCCCAGGTGTATAATACAGCTGACAAGGGACAAGGTTGTAGTCACTTCTTGGTTATAGCCAGCTACCCAGAGGGACCGAGTAGTTGAACCTGTGGGCTTAGGACCATAGTCACAGGGGACATCAAGCTCAGTTTGCATAACATACTACACAAAACATTGTTCTACCTCCTACTCTGGCAAGTAGCAACTGGGATCTTAAAAGCTTGCAAGCAGCTATCTAGATGCAATGATGGGTCTCTCCTCATCCAGAGCAAAGAAGAATGAAGAAAACCAAAGATTCATGGAAACAATTAGTCTTAGTGACTGGTACACCATATGATCTGCAGCCTACAAGACTAGGAGACCAGAACTAGATGGTGCCCAGCTACCACTGTCAACCACTGAGAGGGGGATATGTAAGAGATCCTGGATAGAGAGGGAGAACAACGTAGAACAAAACTCAAAATCATTTGGAAAAAAAACAAGGGGGACCCGGTTTGGTGGTCTGATAGAGCCTGATGGAACCACTGAGACTATGGCCCCTAGCTGCCCCTTAGGTCTGGAATTGAACCCACACCTGTAGCTTCCAGCCAAACAAAAAACAGGTATAGGAGTTGAATTAATCTACCTGAGGTAGATATACTCCTTGGAGAGAACAATCATTGGAGAAAGAAGGGCTGCTTATGCATAGGGAGACAGCTCAGGGGGCAGGAGTACATGGAGGGATAGACACAGGCAAGAGGTAACTATCCAGAGGAAGTAGGAGGGGAGCTGTTGCATTGTGGTAAATTTTAGTCAATGTCATGAAACAAAGTGTATGTGAATTGCTGCATGGAAAGTGAATTTGCTCTGTAAATTTTCACCCAATTCACAATTAAAAATAAAACAAAGACTATTGTTCATTTTTAAGTTGCTGTGTCTGGCAAAACCACACAGGTCATGAATGAAGCGACATGAAAGGATTAATGGTTTTCTTTTTTATTTAAAAGGAACAGGAGCCAGGCAGATGCCCTCCATGTTCTGCTAGAGCGACACCTGATGCCTTTGTTCTACTTTATTTATATATTTGTACGTGATTATGTCATTAGTCTTGGAATCCATACAATCAGCTTATTCTCTACAGAGCTAAAGTTTCACTTCTCTACATGAGCAAGGAAAACAGGCGGTTATTAAAACAATCACAGAAATCTCCTCAGGAATAAGGAGTGTAAAACAATGAATGTTTACTAGGACACAATGACTCAAAGTATGAAACATTCCAATAAGATAAAAACATGGACTACAGTAATAACATCTAAGTTTAATACTTTGATGTTTTGCTAATTAAATATTTAACAGTGAGAGAGAACCTGCCATCTCTAAAAGCAAACATTCAATCACAAGAGAGGCCTGGCCATCTCTTCACTGTAATTACATGTGCCTTGCAATCATATTCTTTTGGGTTTTTGTTTCTTGGTCCCCAACATAAAGTGCGTGAAATAAATGCAACTTTTAATAACAAAAACAAACAACAGCAGCATGCTTACATGCTCCTCTACACTTCTGAGTACTCTACCCAATGCCACATATCCTATGAGGTCTTTCCACCCTGTCTTCTCCCTTATGGGTCATATTTTCTATTCTTGTTTAAGAAATTCTTATGTACTTCAATATCCTGAAGATATTATTCCATGACTCTGAAACTTCTTCTTGAATGAAGAGTAGCTAAAGCAAAAAGAAGGAATGGTAAAGTGAAAGAGCTGAGCAGATTTCAATTGGCAGCTGAAGATAACAAAGTAAATTATAAGGAAATGTGTAAAGACCTGGATTTAGAAAACCAAAAGGGACAAACATGCTCAGCATTTCTCAATGAAAAAATAGAAGAAAAAATTCAAGCCTCTAGTTGCAATATTGCAGGATGCTATGGGCAAAAAACTGAATTATGCAGGAAGCATCAAAAGAAGATGAAAGGAATAGAAAGAATAAATACTGTACCAAAATGAACTGGTCAACATGCAACCCCTTCAGGAAGTAGCATATGATAGAGAACTAATGGTATTGAAGGAAATCTAAGCTGCACTAAAGGCACTGGAAAAAACAAGGCTCCAGGAATTGACAAAATAGCAATGGAAATGTTTCAACAAATGGATGCAACACTGGAACTGCCCATTCATTTATGCCAAGAAATCTGAAAGACAGCAATGTGGCCAAATGACTGTAAGAGATCTGTATTGCGCCTAATGCAAAGAATAGTGATCCAGTGGAATACATAAATGATCAAATAGTATCATTAATATCAGATGCAAGTAAAATCTCCATTCAATCTGCATTGACATAATTATCACAGTTGTCTTCCAATTTTGGCTTTTAATTGGAGGCGTAAATAAAGCAAAATTCATACATGATTGCTCTTGGCTCAACAGTTGAAAGTGAAAACTTTTTCAAAACATCTTAAGTGATACTATTTTTTTTTAAATTGTGATTGGGGTGAAGATTTACAGAGCAAATTCACTTTCCATACAGAAGTTCACATATACTTTGTCTCATGACATTGACCACAGTTTACCACTATGTAACAGTTCCCTTCCCACTCCTCCCCATAGTTACCTCTTCCCAGTGACCATCCCTCCATGCCCTCCTGCCTCCATGCTGTCTCCCTGTGCATAAGCAGCCCTTCTTTCTCCCATGATTGTTCTCTCCAAGGAGTGTATCTACTTGAGATAAATGTTCAACTCACATGCCTGTCTTTTGTTTGGCTGGAAACCACAGGTATGGGTTCA